GAGTATTTCATTTTTAATGAAAATTCATAATTTCAGGTTGGGGAAAAGAAGGAATCGAAGAAAGAGAGTTCAAAGAAAGAAGGCTCAAAGAAGGAAGGTTCAAAGAAGGAAGGCTCACCACAGGAGGGATCCAAAAAGGAAGCAAGAAAGACAGTAATGGTTGGTATTACTATTGTATTTGATTTTGACCTTTATCAAAGAACTAACTTATATTTACTTATTGAGTTCGAGAATAACCATATATATCGGTTGAATTTGAAATGAATTAATAATAAAATTGTAAGAAAACTTAACTTGTGATAGCGATGATTCATATGAATGCGATGATGCAGACCATTTATATTCGTATGGATGCGTAAAATCGTTAGAATCACGTTGGATGTCATCGTGATATAACTCGTGATGTATCAACGTTATGTAATTGTGATAATAGCCGATGGTTTGTAAGATTGAATTTTCTTTTAGACTCAAAAAAGTGAGCAAAAGATTTCAAATGAGATGAAAGTGATGCCAACACAAGAACTGCAAGTTGAGGAAAAGGAAGGAGAGGAGAAGAAGGAAGAAAAGAAAGAAGATGAGAAAAAAGAGGAAAAGAAGGAGGAAGAGAAAGAAGAGAAGAAAGAAAAGAAAACAGACGAAGATAAAAAAGAGGCAGAAACGGACAAAAAGGATGATAAGAAGGAGAGTGATACGGTAAGTGTTCAACATGAGTTTGTGTGTATGTGTATGTGTATTGTATGTGTATGTGTATGTGTATGTGTATTGTATGTGTATGTGTGTATATGGATATGTGCATTTCAGATCTATCAAGTTATAATTTACCTGACAGCTTGATATGCAAAAATGTAGAAAAAATGGGGAGTAGTTGAAATTAGAGGTAACCCGAAATGATTTCAGTTTTGACAACACTTTGATCAGGTCCTGTCGAAGAATAACAAATTTTGTCAATCAAATCCTTAAAGCTAATCGATTCGTCGTAGTTTTAGGTGTTTAATTTTAGAGGATTGAATCCAATGCTTTGAATTTTGTATGTTTTTAATTGAATAATTAAAGATAAGCGGAAATTTTCAGGAGAAGAAAGAAGAAGGTGAAAGTGAAACGAAGAAATGATAGAAGTGAAAATTGAGAAGAGGAGATGAGTTGAAGAATACTGTACTGATTTCATATCCCTGCAAAGAATCATGGAAATATACTCCTTTTATGAAGCTATCAAATATCATTTTCATTTTACAAAATGCTAATTTTAAATGTACTTTGCAGTATAAGTTTGAAATGCAATAACAAGTGAGGGTAAGGATACGGATAAGAGCGGGGAGAGAGGAGCTGGTATTTCGATTTACATAATCGAAAAGGTAAAATGAAGCGGTTGTGTTATTTGTATTACATGACATCTTCATGTCATACCTAAAAGTATATCATCAAACTGTCGTAAAAGCGCGCAAAAAAAGTGTCCTTATATTATCATATATCCATCATATCCTCCTGCAATATCAGCAACATAAAATTGATTATTAATTTTTCAACCGGATCAATATTCGGCTAAACTGAAATGATTCAACCATTGTTGTATGATGTGTATAAAATAAGCAATTGAAAAAGGGTAATGTTATTTCTCTAGTTGTACCTACGCTTTGTGCGGTGGAATCATTTGAATCATTAAAATTTTTTTAGGTGGATATTATTACTCATTTGTTATCAGGTTTCATACGAAATACGTTACCCATATTAAAAATAAAATGGGCAATCAGGTATCTAGGCCAGAAAAGAAAAGTGTGGCAATGCCACAACATGCACTAATGAAAATTGCTCGCAAACCGCAACGAGCTCAAGATATGACGAATAAATTACCACAAGGTGTAGTAGCAATTATCATCCAATTATACTTTAAGACCTATTAAAAAAATTTTCGATAAATAATACTATAAGCGATTCAACTTTGACCCGTTTTACTAATAAGTGGACATTGAATTATTCGCATTCGCATTTTGTATTCTTTTAACTTTCTACTTAACTTTGCTACAGTAATAATATTTTACTCTAATCAGTTAGTTAACATTAATTAACGAAGCAACAATATTTTTTAATAAAACAATCATAAATAGTGATATTTAGTAAGTTCAAAGTATGTTATGTTACTTTAGCGATGCCACGAAGACATTGTTATTTGAAATTCCTACGAATGAGTCGTATAAAAGATTATCTGTTGCTGGAAAATGAATTTATTCAACGTCAAGGGAAACGTGGATCAATTAGTAAACAACAGAGGAAGGAACGTAAAACTGTGAATGCATTACGTGGCTCACCTATTGCACTTGCACGAATTCATGAGCTTTTCGTTGATGAAAAGGTTTAATTAAAAAATTGAAATATAGAAAGGAGGATTGAAAAAATTTAAGGAAAAAAATAAAAACAAGAGAATTCTGCAATTACAAGCAAATTATTCTGTTCCAGTATTTGTTTAATTAATATTTATATCACAGAGAATGTGATCATTATAACCATTTAGAAAAATGTTAAATTTACGGCAACATGGAAGATAGGACAACAAATATCACCAAATGACCATCACCAAAGACCATTTTAATAGTCTATAAAGTTATGCAGCATAATGCGTAATTTGTTTACGTAAATTTATAATTGTAATATTAAAACAATTTCTTCTTATTATAGCACGCTGTAGTGGTTATCGAAGGTAACAAACGGGAATGGTATATACCAATATTATCAATCGTTGATAAAGATCTAATCCGAATTGGTGCTTTGGTTATGGTAAAAGCTCAAGGATCATTGAAGAATGTTCCCATTGCAGTGGTTGGAGTATTGCATGATAGCGTTGATGCTTCTAATTCGATTATCAATAAACTTGAAAAACCACCCAAAGAATCATTTGATGTTAGTTTCAAATCTAAACTCAAAGTTTACAAATATTTATTAAAAGTTTCAAAGTTTATTTATTAATTTAGTTTCAGATTATGAAACATCACTTATCTCTTGAAGCTAAATCTTTAAGATGAATAATGTTGAAAAAATAAAACAGTATATTTATAAGCATTTGTTCTGATAAAGATAAATTAAAAAGGATTGCGCAATATGTCCTTCAATAGCTAGCTATTTAAGTTATGCCATTTGCGCCATTTACGTGTTATTTACGCTGCTTACGTTCTAATACGCTTTAACTTATATCCCGGGAAATTTTCACTTTATTCTTCATTATGTGATCCTAATGATTGTAACGAATCTAGGATATTGGAGGATTGGAGGAACAGATTCAAGAAATCAAAGAAACTGTTGAGCTACCGCTTGTTCATCCGGAATATTACGAAGAAATGGGTATTACTGCGCCAAAAGGTGTCATTTTATTCGGCGAACCAGGAACAGGTTGTTTTTTCTTTAGAAGGGAATGAAACAAAATACTTCTAGTAAATTGCAACACACTCTCTAAACAATTTTCAGGAGGCATAAAATGACAAAGTATTTTGTAATGATACTTTGCTGATGGATTATCAGTAAATAATTTTAGAAGCAGCTTTTTTACATCTACAGAATACTTGAAATGATTGAAGAATAATGTGGTGATCGTATGCCAAATCATTTTAAACATGATCCCATAGTAGAAAAAGGTGAAGATCTTGAAAAATGATCATACTTTCTTCAGGAAAAACTTTACTAGCTAAAGCGGTAGCACATAGTACATCAGCAACTTTCATTCGAGTTACCGGTGCTGATCTAATTCAGAAAAATAGTGGTGATGGCTCCAAACTAGTACGGTAAGTTAATTTTTTCACAAAAAAATCAATACACGGAATAATATCTTACAAATATATTAGGAATATCACAATAAAATTCTTTCAGAGAATTATTCCGGACTGCAAGAGAATCAGCTCCATGTATCATATTTATCGATGAAATTGATGCAGTTGGTACGAAACGACATGATACGACCTGCGGTGGTGAGCGAGAAGTTCAACGAACAATGCTAGAACTGTTGAATCAACTTGATGGATTCGAAAGCCGCGGTGATGTTAAGGTAATCCATTTAGTGATTTGATAACGAAGTGAGTTTTCTCAAGCTATAATCTTAAATTTCACATTAAATCATAATGAAAATCAAAGAATCGATGATCAATGAGCACAACCCAAAAGATCGAAAATGCAAATTATACGTTTGAAGTGTGCACTTCTCGATACATTCACAAACTTAATCATATCAAATGTCTTTTCGGATCATTCCTGATCCCATTCAAATCAAAATAATTTAAGCAATCATCAAACATAATGCTAGCCGGAAGATACATGAGCAAAAGAAAATGATATTCATTAGTCATCAAAAGAAATGACAAACTTCTTTTCCCAACCAGGTAATAATGGCAACAAATCGAATTGATGTATTGGATCCAGCGCTCATTCGACCAGGCCGTATTGATCGTAAAATAGAATTACCAAAACCAGATGAAAAAACAAAACTTAAAATTTTTCAAATACATACAGCAGGAATGAAAATTGCAACTAATGTTAAATTCGAAAAATATGCTTCAGAATTATCACTTTCCGGAGCTGATTGCAAGGTATCCAATGTTTTACTTCAGCCATTCGATTATATTCGTTTTCAGAAAACAATTTCATCTTATTTAGGCGATCTGTACAGAAGCCGGAATGCTTGCACTTCGTGCACAAAGAAAGTTTGTATGTCTGGAAGATTTTGATAAGGCAATGGAACGAGTTATTATGCAGAAAAAAAATGAAGCACCGGTGGAATTTTTTATGTGAATTTTATTAAAATTATCAAATGCTACTTGATTGACTCAAATTATGGGAGAAAATAAAAATCATTGTTTTTTTTAAAATCATTTCATTAACACGAATATAATCCATCAAATGAATGATACTTACCATCCATTTCATCAAAGTAACATACAACGCTCGATTTTTTTTTTAGTTCTCACTGATAATTGTTGTTGTTGTTGCTGTTGTTGCAGTGTACTGATAGGGATCATTTTGTGATTATGTACGTTGAATGTCCGTGTTGTTTGCTATTACATATGTAAGAAAGAATATTGCTGCTACTAATAGTGATCGAAGAGTTTGATCATCTCTTCATCTTGTAAACAATCAGTGATGATGGGCCTTTTTCTTTTTGATAAGGTCACTGCAATACTCTTAAAAAGATCGTGCAGTATCATATCTAGTATAAAAGACAAAAACATAGTGCAGAGTAATACATAAATGACGATTATATCAATTATCAATTATTTCTTCTTTAAGCATCTTTTGAAGGCATTTGATTGGTAATACTAGGTATGACATCAGCTTTGCGCATATTCCCGTTTACATAATTTGTTTTATTGTTAAATTAACAACTTATATCATATCAAATATTGATTTGTCTGTGAATCACTCATCCCAATATTCACTGATGTACAAGATCTATTGTTGTCTTTATTGAACTTGCACTTTTATATCCCTTCCTGCTCAGCACAACCTTTGCTATATTGATTATTAAGATCTTTTTTAATTTTTATTTAAATTCGAATTTGCATCCGCGATCAGATATATTTTAAGTATTTTTATAGATCATATTTCTATTTCAATTGTGGCAATGACAATTACTGGGAGAATGGGAAGAATGACATCAATCTTGGAGCCATTAATGAGGAACTTGCAGATGTGCAGCCAACGTTTATCGAGTTCTGCACCGAAAGTAAGATTTTATAGGTGGGTTAGAAGTGGACGTCAAGCTATAGTGAAATTTTTGAAAAGTTTTTGAGAGATTAAAAATTTTGACAAAAACCTAATTTATAGATTGCTTTGTTGGGTGCTGCTGGTGGTATTGGACAACCACTTGGACTATTGCTAAAAATGAATAAGCATGTAGCAAAATTAGCATTGTACGATATCAAAGGTACGCCAGGTGTGGCCGCTGATCTGTCGCATATCGATAGTAGAGCTCAGGTGCTTCTTTTATATTTCTAATTATTACGTGTATTAAGTAATTTTGCTTTTTCTTCGGGTGTCGTTATTGCTCACGTTGCTTGTAGTAATTTGTATGACTTCTCATAGCCGGAATTTAAATTTTAGGTCACAGGACACACTGGTCCAAATGAACTAGATGAGGCTTTACAGGGTTCTGATATTGTGGTGATACCTGCTGGTCTGCCACGAAAACCAGGTCTTTAAATTTTGACTTTTTTCGTCCTTTTTTGAAGCGGAAATTTTCTTGTGTGGGACTAATGTAGAATTTCAGTTTATTTCATTCTTCACTATCAATTTGGATAAATTATAACATTTTGAGATAGATAGTGAAAATGTGCTATTTCCAGGCATGACTCGTGATGACCTATTCAATACGAATGCTAGCATTGTACGAGACTTAAGTGAAGCAGCCGCAAAAAATTGTCCAAAAGCTTTTGTTGCAATTATCACAAATCCTGTCAATTCAACAGTTCCAATCGCTTGCGAAATTTTCAAGAAACACGGCGTTTTTGACCCGCAACGTATATTTGGTGTCACAACACTCGATGTTGTACGATCAGCAGCATTTATCGCAGGAGCTAAAGTATTTCTATGCTTCGAATTTTGCTTCAAAGTTCTTAAAAACATATCTGTGATGTGCAGAGGAATGATTTTTAAGCATAGCGATCACATAACATTACTATAAGTTTTGAACTTTATTTTCTTTCAGAGCTTAGATGTTGAGCAAATAAATATACCTGTGATTGGTGGTCATTCGGGGATTACTATAATTCCGCTTCTTTCGCAAACGAAACCATTCTGTAAATTTTCGAATGATGAAGTGAAAAAGTTGACAGAAAGGATCCAGAATGCTGGAACGGAAGTTGTACAAGCAAAAGCTGGAGCTGTAAGTTTCAAATCCTTATTTTATTTAATGAACTAAGGAATTTCAGTTGGAATTTGTCTTCATTAAAGATAAGATTGTTCAACTTCATTTTCTTTATCTGTCACACCTTTACTTCTATTAAATGCTTAAGGATTGATTCACGAAAGAAAAGTCTGTAATATGATTCATTGCTATTCAGATTTTCAGCGCCTTAACTCGGCCAATTTATGTTTTTTGATACGTAATATCAGAAAAAATTGTGCCTACTCACTGCTAGAAAAGTTTAGGGTTCGGCTACACTTTCAATGGCTATGGCAGCTTCAAAATTTGTGGAAAGTTTACTGAAAGGTCTGAAAGGTGAAAAATCCGTTCAATGTGCATATGTGGCTTCGGATGCGTGCAAGGGTGTAGACTACTTTGCAACACCATTGGAGTTTGGTGTAAGTTCTTCATGTTATATAATTTCAGAAAAAAATTTTTTCTTTAAGTGAACTGTTTTCTCGTCTAAATGTTTACTTATTTCATTTGCTTAACGAATTTCAAATGTTTTTTTCTGTCGTTTTACTTAGGCTCATAAATTTAACGGTACTTTTCACTGGCGTGAAGAGTAGTTCTTAATTCAAGCTTGTTTTTGACGCAAAATGTCAAGTGTGGAAATTATAGAATTTTAATTTCTTCAGAAAAACGGAGTTGAAAAGATTCATGGAATGGGCCAGCTTAGCGCATACGAACAGGGCCTTGTCGACGCTGCCATTCCAGAGCTCCAGAAAAATATTTCCAAGGGTTTAAAATTTGTAAGTAGCTGAATTTTAAAACTAGTCATTGTGTTTCATTGCTTGCAAATATCCATGTTGTTTTTGTAGATTTTTATGGCTCACATTGAAGAATTTTTTAACAGTTTTTGGTTCATTTTTAGCATTATTTGTTTGAACTATTATTGTATATCGAAAATATCATTATCTATTGATGTAGTTACGTTTAGTTATTATTTATCATAGGTCGTGAATATATTTCATTGAAGTTCTCATTATTCAGTAAAGATCCACAAAACAAGTTTTTTTTGTTCTTCATAAAGTTATCAAGTCCAGCAAATATCGAATGACGCCAAATGAGGATAATCGGAGTTATGTATTTTCCATGTGTTCCCTTGTCTACTCTCTCAAAATTATGCCAACACCATTAAATTACACAGTAGAATTTCCAAACTTTCTGTGGAGTCCGTATGTTCCCAAATACCACAAAATTGCGGTCCAATCACTATTCATGGCTAGTTCTTTTATTAAGCGTCGAAATGAAGTTTTATCAATCGCTTAAGATGCTTGTTAGTCATGTTTTCGACCTACGTTGTCTGAGGAGAAGGATCTGGAACCGTTTAAGTTACTATTTCGACGAATTGATTCAGTAATTATGATTTTCAGACTTAGTCAAACGCGATCCTGTGATATTTGTGTTTTAAATGCCGCTAGTACTTTAAATAAGAGCAATAAGCAAGTTTATTCGATTTCAACCGTTACCTTGTACATTCATTCTGGATATAGATTTATAATCAGTAGGAGAAAACGATAGCTTTAAGGGAGAAAGAGGGGCAAAGAGGCGAGTGATTTAAGAGAGCCTTTAAAGAATGGTTGGATATTACGAGTAACTATAAACTCCTTGTAGTTGAATTTTTTGTGCAGGTTTTTTGCTTCTCTTTTTATTAAGATTGTTCCTTATTTTTAGCAGCAGTTAGCCGTAAATATAAATATTTACCCATATTAGTAATTTAGATATGTGACAGAAACTATGTTTAATCGCTGTTGTTACTCGATGCGATTAGGAATCAGCACACAGCGCATAATTTTTCCTTGTATTCAACGATCCTTCTGCACTTTTAATGATGATAATGCTAGTTCGCAAGCTGAGAAAAGCTTGCAAAAATCTAAAGCATCCGGTAAAATTATAACTGAAATTAGAAAAGAATCGAGAAGTACAACTCTCGAAGAAACAACGAACGAAAATTTGAAACCAGGAAGCATACGAAGTAATTTTTTAAATATTTCGTTAAATTTTCGTTTCGCTTTTTCACTGCGAGTCAAATGTAAACTAATTAAACAATTTACAGAGAAATTGTTGGAGTTTAAACAGAAAAAGGAGCGAAAAAAACCGAAACCAAATGAAGTGGCTACGGAAGAAATTTTGACGGCTATTGATTCCGTAGTTAAGGACCTTCATTGCAATGATATCCCGGACCAACGGAAGTAAGCGCGTGTTATTTATTTAGAAAACTTGAGTCGTTTTATTCATGTTCCTTCAAATAATAAGAATCAATGATGGTATTCATTAGAATCTTAATAGGCCAGGATTGTATTGTTCTTAGAATCATATTGAAACATGACCATAAGTTAGAGATCCTGCCGAATCCATGCTTGTGTCTTTTTTAAAAAAATTTAAAAGTTCAACAGAATTAGCGACTTTTTTTTTGCGGATTATTAGGAGGAAAATAAGCTTGTTTCGAAGAAAACATGCTAATGTTGTTGAACTTTAAAAAATTTAATTATATAACATGCTGGGACGTTTTTGTTCAGAACGAGAAATGAACTAATTGGAAAATTGATGGAATATGAAAAAGAAAAATTTGAAGCGGCAACCAGTGCGCAGTATAGTGAATTATTATCCGATAGGGATTTTGCCAGTTTTCTAGGAAGCCTTAAAGATGAAACAATTAAACCTCCTCCACAGTATGTTTCTTGCTCTCCAAATAGTTTTAATGTTCCAGAACTGTTCATTAATTGTGAAGTAATTACGCCAATCGTTTTCTTGGCTCCGATAGTAAAGCTATCTCGGTTTTAGTAGATTTAAGATTTTTTTAACGTAATAAACAAAGCTTATTGATATAGAGCTGTGCAAAAGCGACAAATGCGCCAAGGATTATTACTGTTGAAACGTGAAATATTTTATCAAGCTCTTCAGGTGATATTACATTTTTCATTTGCTTCATTCTGCCAGTTTTCTGGATTCTGGATTTTTCTATTAAAGGCTTGATTTCTATTCCATTTCAAGAAAAATTTATTTACTCAGTAAAGAGTTTTGGAAATTACGAATTTTTGACCTTCAGTCAGGTCACAAAGCAGAGGATGCTCGTAGAATTGCGGAACGTGCGGTGAAAATAGCCGAAGAAAGGGCAACTGAAAAACACAAAATTTTGAAGCAAAATTATACAGAGGAACAAAAAAAGAATATGTTGAAAGAAATCGAAGAGGCCGAAAAAGAGAATACTTTTTATAATGTCGCACTACAGTTAGCAAGGTAACTTATTTGTTCTTTATCTTTATGGTAACTTCTTCAATATATATTTTCTTACTATCCTTTGATAGAAAGTTATGTAGTTTAAGGCTTAAGTTTTATAGAGGATCGGTGAATTAATAAAATTTTCTTCGTTTCCTCACGTAGAACAACGAAGTTGTGGTTTTATATATCTCAAAATTTCGCATATCATGAAACACTATTATTTATATATACTGTTTTGATACAGTAGTTTTGTGTGAATGATCAGTAGCATGACAGATTGCCTAGAAAATATCAACAGTCCTCTTTTGTCAGCTTTTTAATTTCCCAAATGCTGTTGTAATTCTTTTTCAAGGAATTTCATATAAGGTCCATATTCAAATCTGTGTTTAACTTTTTAGCAAAATGCTATATCCGGATGATCCGTCCGATGAACCTTATATAGCTCATTCCAATGTTATTTATCCTGATTGTCGCGTGGCGAACATTTTCGAAAATATCGAGGACAAATTGAACATTTTTAAATTAGAGGATATACCAAAACTGAAAGATCATTCAGTGAAACAGTGGTGTGAATGGGATAGAAATGCTGCAGCGTAAGTGCTTCGCTTTTGATTTTGTTTAAAATTAAAAAAAGTGCTCGCTTTCTTTTTTCCACATAACGTATATTGAAATATATGATTCGCCTTTTTTACGTTTATGTTAAGGATTTGGAATTCTTCATTCGGTCCAGCTAATGCCTTCGAGGAAATGATTGAGCTAACGGAACAAGGAAAAATGTGGCCTTACCCAATCGACAATGAATATCAGATTGGCGAAGAAGAAGACGTAATCATCATTTTTGCTTTTTAAACCATCAACTGTTTTATTGTTATTTTTTCAGTTAATTTCTTCAAATCAGCCATGTTTTAAAAATCAATTTTAAAAAATTCTAGGTTGCCTTTTACGATCACATATTTTTGGATAAATATCTCGCTCAATACAATTTGCCACAAGAAGGACCTGTCGCACAGTTTATGGAGCTAGTTTGTATAGGATTATCCAAAAATCCTTACATGTCTATCAAGAAAAAACATGCACATCTTGATTGGTAACTTTCTATGTTTTAATTGAAACTGAAATTTTTTACTCTTTTATTACGATCACAAAGTTCACTACACATCAGTTACTTCTTCCATTTGAATACGTGGTATTTTTTTTCGAACTCTAATGAAGTTAACACGATTTGTTTAATAGGCTTTTTTTGTCCTCAGCATTTGTCATCTTTTTATTGTAAATAGATATTTTTATTTTTCTAATATTGTAGGTTTGCTAACTATTTTAAAGAGAAAGCAGAAGAAATTAGGCGGATCCAGGAAGGTGCCGGTGTTTTGGTGGAAGGTTCGATTTAAACTTCTTGATCCGCTCTTGTTCGATATGAAATATCTAAAAATTCCAAGTAATCTGGAGAAGTTATTTCCCCAACTTTCTATAGCAATTTCAGTATGGATTTTTGCTGTAAAGGATTTAGTTAAAGATGTAGTACAACCTTGTTTTTGTGAAATCTTGGAGATATATAACTTTGTTGGCACAGTTTTTCAATTTCTTTTTTTTTGAAAATTTTTATCTTATTGATGCATGATTCTGTTTGCTTTGGCATGTATTTTTGTGATGTTGGAGATCTGATAAATTTTTATTACACTTCTTTGTACGTATAATGTTGATGCTATTTTCTCTAGCCTATGCGATATTTTTGGAATTTATTCCATCAATAATGAAATACTGTTACTGTCATATACCACTGTAAAATGGTTTTTCATTTTTGTCGATGAATGCGATGATCGCTAACTAAATGTTCCCGTCAAATTATCAGGTTCCGAATTTGAAAAGTTATGGAATTTTGCTAATTTATGAAGATCAAAAGTTGAAAAAAATTTTCTGAAGATCACAAGTGTTTCTTTCAAAAGTATGCTATCATCATAACATTCAAATTGTTTAAAAATCAGAAATTCTACGGAAGGGAATGTAAATTTTATATGGAATAGGAGTATTGAAAAACTGAAAGATTCGAAAGAGCAATGACATTAAAAGTGAATGAGATTCATTTTGATGGGATCTTTGAAATGGATAAACATTTTAACCTTGAAACTTAGCTTCTTAAATTTGAATCAATTCAAAAAGTAATAACTGAACAGTTGGGAACACTTCACAGACACAAGTTACAAATATAACAATGAAGAGAGTGTCATAGCAATAATTATTTGTAGCAGTATTAGTAGTAGTAACAGTGATGGTAGTAGTATTGGAGATGATGGTTGTTGTTGATGAGTAGAATGGATGGTATCCGATCAGGGTCATTCATCTGCTCCCTTCCACTTTCTTGTCAAAAGTAATGTAAATGGAGAGATGCATGAGGTGTATATGGCAGGGATTAAGGCACGCGCCCTTTACCTCTTCTCATCTTCCTTCAATCTCCAACCACCACTATCTGTATCTTTTTGCATATTTAACTCAAACGGAGTGCAACTGTGATTGATATTGTTGCCGATTGTGATGATGGCGGTATATGGTATAGTATAGTATAATATAGTGAGATACTGTACTGTACTATCTATTCCTATCATTCTTATTTCTTTCTTTTTTTTCGCTATTTGAAAAGATTGAAAGTGATCCAATTTCTTCGTTATATTGTTATTGAAAAAGGGGGAGGTTTGGTAATGGTAGTGATGAAGATAATGATGGGATGAGGCCATCTTCCATTGACCAATGACCTGACCTGTCTCTTCACTATATCGCTCTTCACCCCATACATACATATATGATGACAACTTAACTCCCACAACTTATGGATAACAGTCGGCGGATGAGACAACATACACATACATATATACATACACACACACACACACACACATACACATTTGCACACTTTCGTCGTATTGATCTCATCTGAACTGCTTCCATTCGGTCATTACATTTCTTCATGTCCATTTGAAAGTAAGTTACTGAAGCGCAACAGTGATTTATTACCCTATTCTCTTTATTGGTCACTATTTTTGAATAATAATTGAATACTTAATTAATTAGCTTAAAAAAAAATAAAACAAATAAATATAATTAAAATAAATAAGCATCACTTTATTAATTTACTCTATTTCAATTATAAACATAATCATCTTTTTGTTTTATTAAAATTATAATTAATCTTCTGGATATTTTATACCATATAATATATAAATCAATATATTAAAATTTGTATCTTTTTAATCACACGTTTTTTTGAAATCACTTTTGATTGAAAATATCTTTTTCTTCTTTTTTAAATTTGTGTTATTGGACATATCAAACTATATGGCAAGCATCCTTTCTTCGTTCATTCTTCCTTCCTTTTCTCTCTCTCTCTCTCCCTCTCTCTCTCTCTCTTTCTATTGAACGAAATTCGATAAGTGGTTGTTGTTTTTTTGTTTTATGCGATTGACTGAGTGAATAAGTGCGTTATATTCTTTTAACAGTATATATGTATGTATTAGACAGCAGATGCGGGAAATTTCCCTCTCTCTCTCTCTCTCTCTCTCTGTCCCTCTCCCTCTCTCATTTTTACTTTTCAAAAATTTGAGATAAATCATCATCGAACAACGAACAGATATTTATAACCTCTATAGTGAAAGATTTTATATTATTTAATTGTTATAGCGATTTAATCATCTTTTAAATCATTCATTTCTTTTGCAATTATGCATAATCATCCTTTGAATAGCAAGTAATATTTGATAAGTGTGAATTAGATGGATACATCTACATCCTCCATTAGATGGATACATGAGTTATAATTTAGATGGATACATGAATTACAATTAGATGGATACATCTACATCCTCCACGAGATTGTAACGTTGTGGATGAATTAGATGAATAACGTTATATAAGTGTGGATTATTAGATGATAACGTTTCATGAGCATGAATTACATGAATAACATTACATAAACGTGAATTAGATGAGTAACGTCAAATAAGCGTGAATTAGATGGGTAACGTTAAATAAAAGCGAATTAGATGAATAACGTTGCATGAGCATGAATTATATGGATAACGAACGTTACATCAGCGTGAATTAGATGGATGACAATGCTGTATGAGCGTGATTTAGATGGATTACAACGCTACATGAGCGTGAATTAGATGGGTAACGTTGCACTTTATAGAGTTAATTATTGAGCAGTGTATAATGCTTGAACATCAATCAGCAAGGCATGCAAAAATTTGTTGCCTTATTATCAATGTTACTTCTTTCTTTTGCCTTATGGTTTAGTAATAGCATGCATGTTATATATCACGATACTATATGGCAAAAAACTTTTAGGGGAGAGGCAATAATTTGGTCATTTTTTTGACCTTCAAGTATACACACATACACACACACACGCACACACACACCCAGAGCATCAATAAGTCAAATGTCATCGTCGTCGTCGTTGTCGTTGTCGTTGTCGTTGTCGTCGCTGTCCTCTTTCGTCCTTCTTTTCTATTTTTCTTTTCTATTCGCTTTTTACAACGAAAAAAGAAAGAAGAAACTTAACTTCCTTCCATCATTCATTAGGCTATTTTTAGAGGGCAGAAGCAATTCTTAATGCATTTTCTTTTTTTTCAAAAATGTTTTATGCAGAAAGGATACGGCGCCCCCAAGTAGGCAGCGGTAGCAGTGATTGCGATCCAACAACGATAAGGCTATTTTTTGTTATATATTTCTTTCTCCCTCTCTCTTCCTTCCACTTTTTCCCCCTTTTATTTTTCATTTATTATCATCAACAACAACAGTTAGTAGTAGTAGTTGTAGTAGTTTTGTAGTAGCTCTACAAAGGATCATTTCCTTTTGTAAAAAAATATGTTAATAATTTTTACTATTTACCAATTTATTATTCGAATACAAATTTCTCATTTGTAAATCATTTTTGAAGTTAATTAAAATTTGTAATGAAAAAGAAGTAGGAAAATTTGTCTCATTTTCACTTTGTAATTATTAATTAGTTTGTTTTTTTTTTTTGTTTTTGAATTACTGTATTTGAAAAATGAAAAGTAGATTATTTTAATTGACAGCTGTTCAATGATGATTAAGACAAAAAATTAATGTAAGTGCAAAAAGAAAAACGATGAAATCCTGATTAAGATATTAAGATATGTACTTCTTTTTTTCAAAATTCTCTTTCTTAAAATAACAATGTTAATTTCTGTTGAAAAATTGGTTACAATTAATTTTATTAAAATTTATCGATTGTTTTTTTTTAATGGCTTAAATAATTTTTATATTAAATGTGAATCTTTAAATATTACATTGACATACCTATAAACAGGAATCTTTATTTATATCATTGTTTATTGCTTAACTATTCATTTATATTTTTCTTTATTTATCTTCAATTAGTCTAATTTTGTTGGCGAAGAATTTTGGTATTTGGTTTAAATTTTTTTTTACTGTATATCAATTTATTTAACTTCTACAAATTCTACGTGAATCAAACTTTGCAGTATCTTGAAAATTATCATTTAATCAGATGCTATGGAGGATATAAGAACTTGTCGTGAAATTCGAACTTTTATCATGCTATTAAGATGGCAACAATCCCATGTAGCAAAACCTTTTTTTTTTGGTAGTTGATGATCCGACCAAAAGCTGCACAAGAAATTATTATCAAATTTCATCCTTTTAAAATCTAACTAAATTTTCAAGATGGGTTGTTAATTTAGTATTAGATATGCTGGTCAGCTTTTATAATTATTCCTCATTCTATTTTCTTGAAGTGTTGTGGTTGGTAATAAATGCAGAAAGAAGCAAGTAAAGAGTTTTGATAGTTTTCTGATCTGAAATTTGAAATTTTCTACTTCACTATTAATGAACGAATATTTTTGTTGGTTAAGCTGCTTTAGCTACCATAAAATAAAATCAAAAATGTGAGATGAGATGAGATGGAATAGTCATTGTGAGTGCACTGAGTTGATTTATATTTGTGAAGAAAGCCAGTACTCATCTTCCATTTTACATTAAGCTTACAGAAAGACATTATAAATCTTAGGAATCATCCCATCTACCACAAATTGGATTGAAAATAAGATTTTGAAAAAAATGAATCCAACAACATTAATTAGAAGCAAACCCCTTTTACTAATTTTCTTCATCTCTCCTCATCGATCATATTCATATTCCTTAAGGGAATTTTTAAAAATTAGGAAACGATAACTGCGTGAATTTAATAATTGAGTTATTTTGATTTATGAATGGTGAATTTGCAGAATAAAATTTTTGCATATTATCTATCTTCAAGAAAAAGTAGTTTAGCAAAGAATGAATGAATGATACGTTGTATTTGTAATAGACAATGATTTGGTTTTGCCTTCAATCAAACAATCGGTATATTTCTCATGGCAGATGCTTCCTTTTTCTTATTCTTCATGAATTTCAATAATATTTGACATTTGTAAATTGTGATAAGTAGATGAGAGAAGGAGGCAGCTGTGGTATATGAATTAACAACAATCACAATAAATGACAATAGCTGTTCTTGATTTGTAAATCATTTTTAGCAGACGAAGTGATCTTTTTTTTAGAGAGATTTTTAAAATGAGATGATAGCTTAAGTTAGTTATTCATATATCGTCAAATACTAACATCACCGTCATCCTTATCATTATCATTATCAATCATTGTCATTGTTCATAATAACAAGAATATTCCTTATCAGTGATCTTCATCATCATGAAATGATTAATTCAATGAGATAGTTGCAATGGGTATGTGCATTAGTTTATTGTTCATAACAATTTTACATTATTTATTACTGGAATTTTTTTTTGCATTTGACTTAATTAAAAACAATCATCAAAAGCGAAATGAAGTAGTAGTGAACATTTTATTTTTTTAATGTGATAAATTTGATTGTTTATTCTATTGTCGCTTCTCTTTTAAATTTCTAATTTCATTTCTTTGCCAGCCACTTTCTTTTTTCACTCTCTACAATAATCCATAATTTATTCGTGATTCTTAAATGAATCATATATTTTGCTTTTGGAAATTAATTCACATTTAGTCTAGGTTTTTTTTTAGCTTTCTGACCAGCACATTTTTATGATTCAACTTATTGCATCATACAAAATGGCAATGATCAACAAGCAGACATGATGGTATTATAACCAGTTCACTGACTGTTCGTTTATTTTAGCTTTCTCTTTTTCATCTTCCATTAGAAATTTAAGCTAAAAAAAAAAGGAAATATCGGTAGTGTGAATTTCTTTGTCGTGCTTTTTGACATATCGGGAGCGTCATCAAATAGGTTTAACTTATGCGATCAGACGATATTTGCATTTTATTGAGTTACATAGATTTGCTGCTATGAGCTGCTAATTTTTAGTTGTTAGTTCAATTTATCAATGAATCAAGAATTAATTTTTTTAACGTTGAAATAAAATGGTGTGGTGTATGGTACTTTCCCGGTTACATATCAACTTCGTTACTGCAAATGGGGCATGCAAAACTTTGTCGTTATTTTTGTCTCTGTCAATTATAGGTGTCCTTTTTTTTCTTCATTGCAGAAAGAGAAAAAGGGTATGTTTTATAGCACTTTCACCGAAAATTTACTACAAAAGCGTTTGCTTTGGGAGAGGAGTTTTGCAAACTCACAGATACACCTACCTTTTGGCATTGCTGCAAAAATAGTAACGCCAAAAAAAACTTTTGCCATTCTTTAATTAAATTGTAAATTATAGGTGAATAAATTCATCATTAATTTAGACTGGTAAGTTGAAATTAGGGAAGTATTTGTCTTGGTTAAAATTTGACTACTGATATATAGTTGGCTTGAAAAAGTGAATATAATAAAATACTTATTAAACAAATGAGATAGATCTGTGTGTACTGTATATATTTTCAGATCTCATCTATTGCTTTCAAAAATAGCATCTAATTTTATTCAAGACTTCTTACGTGATGTTATGTTTGCCCTTGCAGCAAATAATTTATTTTACCTTACATTCTTCTTTGATTTAAAGTGATTCATGCATTTCGCGTCATTTGTTTACTGATGAATTTAACTGTTAGCTAGTTTAAATTTCAGGAATGTTTACTGTTCTATTTGAATTGATTAGCTGGAATTCCTATTAAACGAATTGAATTAATGAACAGCGGTGGTGTAGCAGCAGTTTTGCCTTCAACATCCGTTGTTGAAGAGGAGTCAGCAGTTATGTAAGTATTTGAACAGTACGCTTTATTAGCTAAACAAAATGCTCAAATATTGTAAATAAGAAATGAAATCTTTTTCATTCATGATATTACTTTTAGATTCGAATTTAAATTCAAATCGAACTTTAGTAAATGCTGCAGAAATCGATAAATGAGTCGGTAAAAATGTTATCGATTGAGAGCAATTTAAAATTTCTTGGTATTTGTAAAGCTTACTCGATTGTTTCATTCTAGATCAAATGGTATGACATACAATGACGAAAGATTTAGTTCACGATGGAAAGAGCGACGTGCTCGATTTTTGGGTTGCATTGAAAATACAAAATTAATAGCAGAACGGACAAAGCAACGGCAGGAGAATGCTCGAGTAGAACGACTGAAGAAAGAAAGAGCTGAAATGGAAAAGTATCGTCGAAGGTTTGATTTTTTTGATCATCTTATCATTGCTTGCTTTTTTCTAGTAATGTTTCCTTCGTGCAAAAAGAAGTTGTGGGATGTTTCAATATCATCTTTTCATTTCACCTCATTATTTACCAGTCAGAGATCTGTTATCATGGCGCGTTTGTAATGTAAACTATGTGTTATTCTTAATAGAAGAAGTTCGTATATCTTCGAAATTCCGAATTTCATTATTTACAATCACTTTTATAAGGATTTGTTCAGTATTACACGCTTTTCGATATTATTATTTTATAAATTGATTACCAAAGCTTGTTGTTAGCATTTTAATTTGTAAAGACAAATTTCTGTTAATTTTATCGAAAGAAGTCCAAGTTTTTTTCTGGAATTGTTATTTAGTCAATAGGGTTATAATTTCAATTTCTAGATGCCATATATTGAAATACCGTAAATACTATTATTGTTGGATTTCAAAAATTTCAGATACTTGGAAGCGGCGATGAAACAGTACATGGAGCAGCAGGCGAAACCTCGAGAAACACCATCATCGATAGCCCAATCCCATGGCCATCATCATCCGCAGCTTCTTTCTTCATCTCAGAGTTATCCTGGATGTATGCAAGTATTACGAGCTGCAACTCCTTTTACACCAAATTATCCACCAATGTCGGCTTGTAAGCCAAGTGTAAGTTCCGAATTTCAAATATCAGGTATTTCAAATGAAGACGTTTTCAGCATGGAATAAAATAAAATTCAACAAGTTAGACATGATGCGATAATTTTCAGTTTTCAGATTCGAAAACGGCCATTTGAAGGTAATGGCGGATGGATGCAATACGCGCATATGACTATCATGGGGGATCAACATAATATATATCACGGAAAAAAGCAAGAAATGTTTCAGAATGATGTATCTCTGATGCAGAATACTAATTCATTTAAGTATTCGGATATGATGTCGAAACAAGTGCCTTACTGTCCGACAAGCAGTTATAATAGCGGAATGGACGTAAGAGATCTAAATTTGTTGTTCATTTATATTTAATCATCTCCATTGTTTCAATTTTGAAAAAAATTGATTTAGAAATTTTAACATCAAATATTGGACATAATTCTGATAGCAACAATATATTCTTTGTAGTCCAGCAAATCGATAGCTAAAGAAGTACATCCGATGAATTGTATTGTCCCTGAACTAGAAAGAGCTGAACAGTACGATCAAGCAAGATTGGGTAGTTCAATATTACCAACAACATCACAGGCACACGAAACTGAAACTTCCACTATCCCCGAAGAAATGAGCAACTTGTCAGCAATGCCAGAGTTAGCTGAGTCGCACGTAAAAGATCTGATGGATCAAATTGGATCGGTATTTCTATTCGATATGTTTAGTTTCGGAAAATATTAGACATTAATCTAAAATTTTAATCTTAATTTAAGATTTTAGGGATCCAAAGTTAAAAATGCAGTCAAATTGTATAAAATATGAAATAGTTAAATGCTGTGAGTTGATTTATTTGAATTTCATTGTAACCGAAGACTTTTATGATCCAAATTAAGCGCTCCTTTCAAAAGAAGCAATTATTATAAGTTCTGCAGTCATTCTTCTGTATAGATGAAGATAGAAGCTTTTAGAATTATTACATGAAATATGCCATTTGTGTTATGTTGTTTATGATATTGATCGCTTTCCATTCATTTTTAAATTGTGTTCACTGTGAGGGTTTGCAGGGTAATTCATTGGATGATCTTGGAGGGAACTGTCTGGAAGGAGTATTGGTTAATCGTTGTGACGACGAACAGCCATCCACGTTAGCTGCGGAAACTGAGAGGCTTAAAGTGCAGTCCTCAAGCAGTTCGGTATGTTTTTTCCTCTGAATAACAGCAGAACAAATAGTGAACCCAGATTACCAGTTAGATTTGAGAACTTTTCTTATAAAGTTGAAGTAATGAAATATCTTTCTGATAGATGCTGTGATTGAAATTAAAGTTAACGAATAAGTTCAATCAAAAATCTGACAAACTGGGCAGGTTTCAAAGTTCGTAGAACTTGTTAATTTATTTGTACGAAACATGGAGCGGAATATTACGGACAGACGTGTGAAAAGAAATTATTTTTAGATAGTTTCACCGATGTCAGTTACCTGCGGTACTCCCAACAGTGCTCTATCTCCAGCTCATCTTTCTGCATCCGCTCGGTGTTCCACAAATTCATTTTATGATTCGCATAGTACTGCTGTAACACCTCAACAAAACGCCCTTACACCACCTTGTAAGCGATGTTAATTATATATTGATATTTCGTTAATCTTTTAACAGTTCATTACTAACCAGTGATATTTCGTTAGTCTTTTAACAGTTCATTACTTAAATTTTGTTTAATATAATTGTCTCGAAAGGGCGCATATCCCATCGTAGTGATAGAATAATGTTAAAGGCTCACTTTCTCACGCAGACGAGCACTTGCAACGTGTTCAAGTATAACAAGGCGATTATGACTTGGATGTTTCGTACTTATTATAAATTCAAATAGGGATTGATTTTTTCTAAAATATGGAATGAGCAAATCATTGGAGGTATGTGTGGAAATTTCAGCTTCAGTTTTTATAGAAGCATCGCTTTTCTCATTGATGATACAATAATCACATATAATTTTAAGGCGATCAGTCGCATCGAATTCCAGTAGCATTACCAGCACCACAAACAATGGTACAAGATAATTCGTTGTTGTGTACGAGGAATGCTAGTAGCAGTACTAGTAGTGTTGGTAGCACCAATGCTGCTATACCATTAACATCGCTAGTCAGCAATAATAATATTAGTGGTGGCAGCAGTAACGTTAACGGCTGTGGTATGTACAGTGCAGCTGCGATTCCAGCAGCAGCAACAGTGCCCAGTCAGCAACTACTACATCAACCACACCAGCAGCCGCAGCAGCAGCATCAATTTGCGCATTTTCAACAATATCATCATTCTCGTCATCAACAACAGCAGCTACTAGATTTATTTAACAATGGATGCCATGTGTCTGCAAATAATGCGCAACTTTCACATATGGTACTTTGTTTTAGAAAAGTCTTTGTGTCTTCCTATTTTGAATTTTAGCCTAATCCATTTCATATTTTTAAATGGTAGACTTTATGAACAGTAGTATATGAAACATGTTCAATGTTATAGTCGTCCCTCAAGTAAAATTAAACTTTGGAGAAGCTCAGAAATCATGCGCTCTTTTGCAGGATAATGCAAGAATGTACAATGGGATTGAGTATTCAAGATTCGGTCATTGCTACAATCAATATCCAAACAAGTCAATCATTTTTCCACGATTTCCCTCTCAAACATTCGTTGACTGCTCCACACCACAGCAGTATGATATTCAATCGATCAAATATCCGAACAACGCAATGTCTTATTATGCGCAGCAACAGGAAATGAATATGCAGCAACAAGCATATCAGTGTAAGTTCCACATTCTTTCCAGCACCATTTACATGTAATAATAGATGTCGGATAATTTGTATTTATTCCTGTTATCATATCTGGGACATCTATTATCTTAGGTGTTAAACTGTAGGAAAATACAAGGTACATTTTTCGAGAAAGTTAATTCGTATTCCGATCAGAAATGTTAGCCTGTGCGAATCACGCTTATGTGTTTTGGTGTTTTATAATCTTCCATTCCTTCTCCGTTTTCAGCTTTTTTTTTCATCTATACCTCAAATTATTTCAATTTATTTCAGTTCAAGTCCCGCTGTTCCAATCGGCATATCACCATCATCACTACCACGGTAACGGTAGCGATCCAATGGTAGCTGCACAGAATCCAGTTTATCCGATGAATCATTTTTGAAATTCTGCGAATGCCTTAAGCACTGAGAAAGCCCGAAAGTAAGAACAAGTCAGATCAAAATGAGCAGCTCGTTTCTTGCAGAGAAGCCTCCTGTTTATCACATCCTTCCATGTATAAATTTTATATACATATATGTTTTTTGTACAGATGATTTTTGTGCGATGTCTACTGTTTATTATGGATGTACACTATTGTTTCCATGTCTCTTTAAGCAATTTAGTAAAGCAATAATTCTGCTATAAGGGATTCAGAAACCCTATTGGTCTTTTACCTAAAGTTTTCCATTTACGTGCAGCTCACCTTCTTTCTGTTAGAAAGAAGCTCGCAAAAGGAAGGGACACGCATATGAAAATCTCATAGATTCATATTATTTACACCCGTGTCGTCTTACCCGTTGTATCTTATTCACGACCAATTAGTGCTCCAAAATTTAGTTCTAGTTCCACCGTACAAAACTCTTCGCTTGCTGTGGCTATCGAAGATTTCTCAACAGCGCATAATCTCCGTCTCAATTCACTTTTCGACATGTGCTGACTTTCTCATCATTAGATATCAAAATCAAATGTGTTGAGGACACCTATTTAATTCACGAGCACAGGAAAAACCAATAACGAAAATCCCAAGAAATAACGGATAAAAACCGGCAAACCTACTATTTAAAATGAATGGAACAAAGAAGAAATGAAAGTTGAGGAAGTAAACAGCGAACAATTTCCCAAGAAACAGTAAGAGAAACAAAGGAAGCATATAGTAATACCGATATTAAGCTGATTTGAAACCCGAAATTGGATTGATTTAAGACAATGTTCAAGATTAAAACAGCAGTACCCGGTGCCTCACACACACGACAGTCAATGTAAAGAAGTCAAAATAGTGAAACAAAAAATCAGGAATCCTAAATTTGAGCAACTTGTGGCCAACAAGCCGTGTTTCCAGCCGATTGCCGTCACCACCCCGGATTTTTGATCCGAACGCCGACTATCGTCAGCAATGATCTATATACGCGGACAGTTACATTTTCCAAATCAAACTGATGATTTCAAATGTATCAATGTTGCTAAGGTCCACCACAATTTGCGCAAGGACTAGAGCGCAACTAATATCACTTTGGCATCGTAAGAGTTAGAAAAAATCATCGCCGTAAAAAACCAGTTTACACCCAGCAAAGGAATATTGGAATTAGCAAAGGACAATTTTGACACCCTATTTGAAATTGGCGAAACAGTGGTTTGCGAAAGCCTGAAACAAAACATCAGTGGCGATAAACGAAACATACAAGAATATAAATCCGCGGTGAAAGTAATACACAATTTCTTGCACAATAGAACATAACTTAAGAATAAATAGCAGCTAGACAAAGGAAAGGGAAGTAGTCATAAGAACAAAGACCGACAGAGAGCGTAATAAACTAATACAAGGGAAATTCGAAAGAATTATTGCAAAGTCGGAATTTTCCAGATTTTCAAAAAATTGAAATATATTCATATAAAAAAGGGAAAATGTTGGAAAGAGAAGAACACCATAAAGACCAAGACAATACATTGCAGGAAGTGTGTACAAACATGCACAGAATAGAAAAACGAGAGGTACATCTTTAATCAAAAATTCATAAAAATGAAAGGACATTTTCAGTACTTCTTCCCTATTTTGAAAATATTGAGATACAGAAAGAAAAACAGAAATAGCATCCGAAAAGGATATATGAAATTTGAGAATGCAATAAAACTTCACGACTTTCAGTGGTAAAATACCGTAGTAGCCAAAGGGAATTCATAAAAATTGAAAAACTGAACTGCAACTGAGAATTATGCAACTGCTAATAAAAAATTCGAGTTTAGCTTAGTTAATTTTAGAATTCGAAAAAAAAATTCATGGGGAGTTGCTCGTAATCAAGTTGTTGACAAAAACAAGATGCTCTATGCAAAAACAATTTTTTGCATTATTTCAGTAAATAAACTGATTTAATATTATTTCTGACTTCATTCTGCGACAAAAATTTCATTTCCAATATGATCAACCAAAAGTGTGCTTGTTAATGGCGGTACAGGTTTTGGAAGCACTGGTTTAACTTTCGATGGATCCCATGCCTTCGCAAGGTTTGCATCTAATAGTACACAATCAATTCGATCTACCTGAAGAAAAATATCAAATCATTTCAGCCCCGATTTTTAAATCTTCATGATTTTTCTCAAGTCTCAAACAACGCAACAACCAATTTTGACGGTAAAGTTGTTCTCTACAACTAAGAAACTAAACCCTATTATTCTCATCGCTTGTGAATAATTCGACAAATGGTCTTGAATCTTCGATATGATAGCCGACAACATAACATTCCAGCGTACGACCCTGCGTCAGCATTTGGAACAACTCCCGTGCTTCATCGGACCACTTTGTTGTTCCTTAAAAGTAATACCATCCGCGTAATATATAACAGCAATAAATGAGATGAAATATACGAAATCAAGAAATAATGTAATTGTTAAGCAGATACTAAGCTTTTTGGAAATTGTACTATGGGCTTATCAACATCAACAGATCAAAGAAAGAAAAGGTGATCTGCATCACCTTCTTCAGATCCATGCCCCTTTAATAAACTTGTAGCTTTTCCCCTTTTACTCTCCCAATCTTTCACCAAAAAATGAAAATGATACCGTCTGCGGGCATAACGTGTGCCAAATAACATTCAATAGCTTGAAACGGCAGCGTCATAAAATCAGTTCTGTAAGAAAATAAAAATTGCATTGAGATAAAGAAGTTTTTAAAAATTCTCATCAAAAGGATTCAAACTTGATATTTCATCAATAAACATCTAAATTCAAAACTACTTTGGCAAGTAAAAAATGAAGTTTATACTACACATAATTTTCAACGCAAAAATTGCTGTCCATCACACTCCAAACATGAGTTTTAGTAGAAGTGAACTTCCACCTTGCAACTTTTTGACTGGCTAACCTTATTTGTCGTAAATCGCTTCTTGGAAGACGACCATAACCACCATAATCTACATATCTTACCATAACTTCATCTTCTTCCTGGTAGTAATCGAGTGTTACTGCACGATACCAACCATCGAAAGCTGGTGCAACACATAACTTATCGACTGAAAATTTCCACAAGTTTAAACCTAAGAGCAAGAAATATAAGCTTCCATATACCACAGCTTGATTTGCTCCTTTTTCTCTCTCGTAGAGTATCGTATTTTCACATTGTCAAAAATATGGAAAACAATACCAACCGTCTACTGGTCTCGGTAGATCTGGTACACCTGCTGGCTGCATATAGACACCAAGCATATAATAATCTAGCCGTTGCAAGGCATTAAATGTTGGATGTTGTGGTTGTTGAAGAAAGAAATGGCCAACATCAATGGTAGCTGAGCAAATTACTTGACAGCGTTCGTCCTCCGGCAACGTCAACTGTAAAATATCAGTCATTTTCCAAACGTCAATATTACCAGTCCCTTCCCTCTGTGTGCTAAATAGCAGCTATAATTAAGCGTTTTCACGGAGTCTTATTATATAATAAGATAATATAATAAGAGATGACTTATTATATAATAAGAGATAACTGTTCTAATTATTTCTCGTGGTCATGTGGTTCGTTACTTTATTCTTGCTTTAAGTTTCAAACAGTAATATACTATCAGGGGAATTCAATCGCAAAAACTTACATTAAGAATGAGTATGCACAGTAAACGAGAATTACTACCTAAGACAGCTGTCTGTCCGAGAAACACTTAGAATTTAATTCTGCTTTTGTTTTAAAATCTTAGAATTTAGTTCTGACTTTGATTTAAAATCTTAGAGATAATTTGTCGTTAGAATATCTTTCCCACCAAAATTAAATCATAAATTTTAACTTCTTTGGAATTACAAATACATGCTATGCAGAGACATTAGTTAACGGAATATGTCCGTGAGTTTGTAAGTTTGTCTATATAGTTCAGTTACACAGCGTATGCAGTGGCAGTTGTTAGACATCATTCACACTACACCACTCTTACTTCATTCTTATCATTTACTATAAAATCATTCTGCCCGTTGAAATGATATTAGAAATTTTATAGAGATGGCATAGAGTAACTAGTCACTTCGACTAACTCCGCCTTCTAAACTTTCCGATCTTATCGCCTATGATTAATTACCCTTTCTTTTCCAAGACGGAAATTATGTATCATATGGAGGGAAACATTACGAAACATTTACGTTGTCCAATATATTTCACATCACACATTGCTAAAATCCATATAAAATGAGTGATCTTCCTATTACAGATGGGCGATCGACTCCTGATTTGCAACTTCATATTCGCAAAGTCTGAACCCTACTTTTCCTTTGGAAAATATTAAGTTCGTTATCTATAACACTACCTCGCTTACTGAATTGTAAATTTTGCTAAAATATTAATGAGAATACCACTGAAACTAGTATTACAATTTTAAATATGTCTTAATATGCATGACATATTTCAGTGTTTTATATGAGCTTCTCACTCTCCAAATTTCAAGTCTACTAAACTGATATCGAATGCTCCAGAACCTGAAACGCAGCTGCGCCGGTTCCGGTATTGCAAACATCATTAACGAAAAGGCCCACACAAAACTGGGGTTCAGATGGCAGTTTTTCAAAAGAAAAAGAAAATTACCTGTACTGGTCTTGTACCGTAAAGTGCCGCTGGCGGATCTGGAAATGGTGGTGGCAGTACAGGCCTTAAATTCAATTCCGGAAAACGAGCAGCAGGAAAACGGCGCCGCATCATCCGTAGACATCTATTGATATTTTCACGTGATCCTTCCACGGCACAAATTTGGTGCGTTTCTAACTGTAAACGATATCGAAGATACTAAACGATACAAAGAACTATATTTAGAATGACCTTATATCCCATCACCACTATTGATGGATAGCAGCACCCGAAAAAATAAATAAACGTCTCATTGTTTAGAAAATTTTTCTTCCAATCTGTATAGATCTCAAAAATAAACAAAAATAAAAAATCTCAAAATAATCACAAATTTTGACTCAGTGCAATGTTAAAAATTGATAATGAACAAAGAAAGTCATAAATGAAACAGTCATCAGCACTGTTGCAAATTATGAGAACGGGAGGGAAACATAAAGGAAGATGGTGAAAGATAAAATGATTAATGGAATTCCCCCTATTAATAAGGATAATTGGGAAAAAAAATGGAAAAAAAATGAAAGAGACCTGGCAAACAAACTTTCAACAAAAAATAGTTACAATACTATTTAATGAAATCATTCAAAACATTAAAATCCAAAAGTAAATAAATATCTGCACGGCATAATTTTTCAGCTTTAAATTTAAAAGAATAAAAATCACCTTTACCGGTGTATGATGAGGCCTGATGATCATTTTCACTTCCGTACGGAGGCATAGTTCCTGAAAAACGAACAATCCTGCAGAAAATCGGGACAGTACACGGAAAAAAAGCGAGGAAACGATGCAAGCAAAGTGCTTACAAAAATTAGCTTAAATCCAATCCTATTAAAAAAATAGAAGTTGACTATTTGGTCGACTGCACCTCTCTTTATTCTCGGTTATTTTAAAGCATTCGTCTAAACCATATTCGAATGTCATACCCTTTCTTGCTGTTCACATTTTTGCTTATATATTCTATTCAGCTTATAAATTTAAATGATGTTTACTTGATATTATCATTTAAAAAAAAAATTTAAAGCAAATATGATCTGAAAACAATTGGCAGCAGCGATCCTTCGTCATATTTGAATGATTTCAATATTTCAATTAATTTCAATAAATTAATAAAAACCTTTATAGTTTTGCCTTTGATACCAATGATTAATCCAACTAATGTATTTGGTATCTCAAACTCATAAATAGATCGCACTTCTGGACTCCCTCGTGGTGCTATATCATCAGCCGGACTTAGTGACGAAGCCAAACCTCCCGTTGCTCGTCCACTATCTTGTGAACCCTAAAAATGATAAATTCTACGATCAAAATTTTGAATTTTGGAACATCGAAATTTACAGCAAACAGCTACAGCAAACCAAAAAAAAATAGTCCATATTTATCATCCTGCTTTAAAAGCTTTGAAAATGAGCCAAATACCTGTTTGGAAAAGCAAGCAAACATCAAAATGCCACCTACACCCACCCAGTATGTGGTATATGCATATTTAATGCTAATTTGCGCCGGTACTGGAGAATCATTGATTGATTATTACAAATAGATTTGGAAATTTCCACGAGCTGGCAGGTAAATAGAATGAATGAGAGAAAAAAGAGTAGTTGAAAACTTGCAAAAATAAATGACTGTCTATGTTAGTCAACCTTGCCAGTTAGAAGTGTTGAACTTGAATCAAGGTATTGTCGAAATATATGTAACCGAAAAATCGTTTTATTAAAAAGTCATCGTCCATGCTAACATTTAAATGATGCTTGCTACAAGGAGAGGCAAAGTGCGTACCCATGTATATGGAATATTTAGAGAAAAGAGTGCCAATACGAACGAAATTTTAAGAGCAATCCCAAAGACACAAGGAACACATTTGAAAACATAAATGTTCCAATTGAATTAAGTACAGCTGCAAATAAATCGATGAATAAGATGATTTGTAAAAAAGGGCAAGTAAACAAACCGACCCAAGTAGAAGGTGGGACAGTGTTCGCATTTAATGATGTACTGGACTGTCCGGAACCAGACAAGGTTTTAGATGTACAGTTGCTACCACTGGATACTGTGGTGAGTGGACGTTGTATAATCATAGATGAACTAAAAGGGACATTTTGAAGCGGAAAAAATAATGTAGCTGGAATAAGCGATGATGGTGGACTTGGCGCTGAAATTGCGGGTGCTACTGAGTTATCAGCAGCTTGTGATGAAAGGAAAAGATCCATATGGAGATTCGATAGCCATGGTTTTTCGGAGTCCAGGTATGAGGACCTAAGTGGTGGATGAACAATATTGGAGTAGTGGTAATTAATACCACTTTGAAAGCTTGTATTATGCGAGGTAGTTGATGTGGCTGTGATAACCACCTGATCCATCCTATACGTTTAGCGAAGCAATAGCACAGACGCGTAGCGACTTCAATAGTTTTCTCTCTCCTCTGAAGAGATCAACAATTCAAATGCAAAATAAAGATGCCTCGGCAAATTTCCGGAAATTAGACCGAAAGCAGGAATAAGTGAGAGAATCCGGCAGCGATGACCGTAAGCCCTTTCAGGGCTGAAGCAACAATAACAAAAACCTGCAAATAATGTGTACAGTGATGTGGCATAAAACGAAACTCTCCAAAAATATTGCATTACGATAAGACCAAAGCCTGATCAAGAGAGTCCACCCCCTCCTCTGCACACCTTTTGTGATCCAAGTGATAATATATAACAGAGATAAACATACGGAAACTGCAACGTAACAACGTGACAGCCAGTAACGTGTATTACACGTAATGTGACGCTACATGAAGAGAGAGGAGAGAGATTTCGAGCGGGGCGAGGAACGATGCATGTAGCACTACGATACAAATAGACATTACACAGATAGACAGACACAAACACCGACGCCGACAATGGAGACGATCGTAAGGAAATGGCGAAGAGCGAAGATCGACTGGGGTTGACAACATTTGATGACACTCCCATCCAGCACGCATCCACGTGCATCCTTTTTCTTTCATCTTCTACTCTAACATACGCTCTCTCTACATTCTCACATCTCTTTCTCTCTCTCCTACAAATGCCGGAAGAAAAAGACGACTGGTGGCATCTGATATACGGCATAGTAATGGCACGATGCCAAACTTCCTGTCTCCCATGTCGCCGTGCAATCGTTACATTTCTATTGCAGAGTATATTGTGATGATAGTACTGCAGCAAGCTGACCTGGTAAAGAGTTCGGGGGAGAGAAAATGCGTACCGCCTATCCATCAACTTGGCAAGCTATCTTGTAACCACGCCACATTCTACCCCAATCTACTACTACATCTTTTATATACATTTGAACATTTTGTTACTATAACTTTTAAAATTAATGAAACAAGGGATAGAAGTGACCGTTCACATGAAACACACAGAAAAACGTTGATGATACTATATATTTTTTCCCAACAAAATAGCCACAATATTATCATATTAGCTCGTTGCATGAGATTCATTTAACACTAAGATATCATTATCTATCCACCGCTATTTAAACAATGAGTGGAAAAAGTGTGAGCAGAAATGAATATTACAGAAATAAATATAAGAAGCACAATAAGTGATTTTTTCTTTATTGATTCATTCCATCACTGAAACTTGAATGGATGATTTTTATAAAATTTGAGTTTTTAAGTTTCACACATTTCCGTTGTTTTCTGATTAATCAACATCTGTGATTTATTAGCGTGCTCCACACTATATGCATATATAATATAAAATGGGATTTGAAATTTACCGGCAGGATAGCAGATGATAAATGCGTAAACAAAGCTCTGTCTTACGAATTTTTACATTAAAAAAAAATACTGAGAAAAAAAGTAAATACTAAGACTTCCTAGAACTAAAAATCAAAATTGATGAAATTTTTTGGGAAGAAGTCTGTATCATTCATATGACAAAAAAGATTCCGCTAAGAAAACTAACGGGAATTTCCCGCAAATGAAAAGCTGATCACAAAATTCCGTCTGTAGATAGTGGTATGATTTGCGTTTTCAATCGGTAATACAGAAGTGATTCAGCATTAGCACATGCACATGCACATGCACACACACACACACACACACACACACACACACACACACACACACACACACACACATATATATATATACATACAAACACACAAAACGGTAGATATGCCCATTGGAGCGATCAAAGATTATCCTCATAAAAGTAATTCGGTAAGCCAGAACAGGGCTAATAGAACAAAATTTTCAACTCACTCGATGAAATATAATAAGGAAAGTTGAAAGGTCATGCGTTTATGGGCTTCATGACACTATATATTCTTTCAACGTTTTATACGAAAAATTGCCATAAGAACTCCTACTAAAATTGTAGAACTTTAGCATATTTATAAGAGTTAAAGATCGATTTTTCCCTGGTGTCTGGAAATAGAACGGAGGTGAGACAATAAAGAAACGAACAAGCGATTCACATTAACAACATCAAAGAACTCGTCAAAATCATGAACTTTCAAAGAAAAAAAACAACATCTCTCAACAACTTACACACACTATTCTATAAACAGTTGTTCGATGAGTGAATGAAAACATGTTTCAACTTCGTGATACACAAAAGTGAAGCTAACCTGGAATCCTTAAAATTTTTCCTTTAAAATGTGCATAAGATTTCCCTTATGTACTTAAATATTCATTCTCTAAAAACCTCTTATATTTACTTTTCTACTACTTACTAACTCCTTCCTCTCCTTCACTATGATTTGAATCAAACAACAAGGCTATATGATTTACAAAGTTTCATCTCTGCTGGTAAGCTGTTTGAAGCGTCTAACACGTCCCTAACAAATCTAGATTAAACATGTTAAGGTTCTTCTTAGCTTTTACCCATGAACTTTTGCAAACATACATGCGAGAAATGTAAGCATAAAGGCAAATATCATCCAATTATGTTTTAACGCATTAGGAAAGCAATCATGTATACTAAAGAAATAAGAAATAATAGGACAAAACTTCACCTCGCTTTCCAAGCGTTGGATGCTCAACAAAATTAAATTAAATTCATAGATGGTTGGCAAAAAAAAACAAAATTAAGGTAAGTTCATGGACGATTTGATTGACCAGCTAAATTTAATGAATATAAAAGTAGGAATGACAAACCACATAATTTGCTTTTTCTCTTGGTAATATCGATGAGAGAGTCAGCAGTGCAGAAGACAAAATATCTAAGTTAATTCAAAAATCTCTCTGCTGCATCACTGCTTGTGGCGCAGCTGTTCCCAAGTATTAAAAATTTTTATTAATTTCCCAAAATGCATGAAGTCACAATTTCTATTTTTCATCCACTTACCTGAATTAACCCTCTGATTAAAGTGTCGATCGCTCGAATCGTTGAACTTTGACCACTATATGTGGCACTACCTTCCAGTTGCTAGGAATACCGACACTATTTCTCTCTACCTATACTGCTCAATCATCCCCAGAATCAAAATCCAAATAAATAGTGAAGTTCGATTTTGAGGGAGAAGAAAAAATTTATATCTAAGGAAAACATGATTTAAAAAACTTGCCTAAACGAAAAAACTATACCGGAAAAAAAAAGATTTCTCAGTTACTTTAAAGATATAGCGGTGAAAAAATTTAGCCGTAAGCTGACGTGCAGATATTCCAAAGAAAATTCACTAAACCGCAAAGAAACACTGCAGAGAATTAGTGAATCAAGCAGGGTGGAAAACAGTGTCTCTTTGCACAATAGATAGTAAGAGAAAGAAAAATTGCAATCTTCTCTTTCAAAAACTAATTTGAAGGAATTCAAATACAACAACTAAAAATTTGATATTACAAGACACAAATTTCAAACGACGATAGAAGCTTCCAGCTCAGAAGTTATAAATTGTGACAAATATTCAAACCATTGACACAATCACAAGAGAGACATGGAAAAAGACGTGCCGAGGTGAATGTGAAGTGGAAATTAATTGGTGGAAGGAAAAAGGAGTAAAATCCCTTCGTACTTCATCTTCTTCAAGCGTATAACATTGACAAGAGATCGAGAATTAAATAATTACTGTCCAAATTTTTATTTCAAATTTTTGGAATTTTTCAGAATTGACAATAAGTTTCGATAAAAAAATATTTCAGTAAAGAGAAGAAGTGTATCCTCTATTTTTAAGAATCACTGCATCAAAGATATTTTAGCGGTAGTAAGTAGTAACAACATAAACAAATTTTTAATAAATTTTAAACATTATTTACTCTAGAAACCTTCAGCTGATAGAGTTAAAATCCCGCTAGAATTACCACTTAGGTGATCATGCTGCAGCAGCAGCCAACAATTATCGTAGTACCAAGAAATCCAAAAGAAGCAGAATAATTTTAAATTTTACTAACTCTTTTACTAATTCATAATTTTAAGTTTCAGAAAATAGATTCCACTAATTAAAAAACTGACCTCACTACTAGGTGTGTTTGGGGGCCTATACTCCATTATATTGGAGTCAGAACTTTGCTCGTCGATAGCATTTTCACCCCTTCTTGTAATATAAATATTCCCAGCATTAGCTTCCCTTTCTCTCCAAACTGATGAAGATTCTAAAGTTTCTTCTTCATCAGCGATCTGAAATGGAGAATTCTTCAGACAAAAAATTTTTGCTCAAAAATTTTCTAATTTTAAATACAATGAAACCAAAAAGGGCAGAATATTTTAGTAGTAAAACTCATAACGTTGAATTCAAAATATCTGGTAAATATTGAGTTATTACGAACGGACTACCGCCAACTGACAGAAAGTTCGACTACAGAAAAATTACATGAACTTTTCAAAGCAACGACTGAATTTATAATCGAAAAATCTCGAGCTATGAATCTGTTATCATGTTCATGAAAGAATCGCGATTGTGGTTACAGTCACCTCAACTTTTCTACTATAAATGTACCATAAAACTGGCCTTCTGTATTTAAAGCCATCTAATTTTCGTAGTGCAAACATGTTCTTCATTAAACAGCAAAGAATCTTTTTTCCTTTAGAAAAGTTTTGAGCAAAAAATTGCATATTTAATGCAATCTTGGCCTTTTATACTTACAGCGATAACCTTAAAATTCATGTTTTCGCCACTCTATAATAATAATACGGTACAAGGAAGCAATAAAGCGATTATACATCACCCACGGGAAACAAATCCTTCTAAACCACATAATAAGGATATTTAAAGACATTAATGATATCGTTCATGAATTATCACTCGTGTGATTGAAATAAAAACCGAATAAAGCTGTTCTAAATCTGTTTTACGTTATTAGATTCAAGCAATAACCCATCAAGGTTAATAAAAGGGCAATTTATTTTAAGCGAATAAAATCGAAACTTACAAAAACTTTATATGAGTGAGGTAAATTGTCAACCGGATCTTCCTTTGTTTCTCGCAAACTATTACTTGGAACTCCTAAAACAGGTATATCATTCGAGTCTATCACATCATTATCCAACTCGGCGACTAATACGTCGTCATCACATTTTCCATCAAATTTCGAACTCAGCTCCGCATCTCCAACGTTATCACTCGGCATCACATCCGCAATATCGTCATTCTGCTTCACCGCCGATGCGGCAACATTTTCTTTAGAAATCGATTTGCTCACTGTGGGAACGTCAGAACTCTTCTGCTCGCATGACTTCGCATTTCCTTTTCTATTTTTACTTTCACTAAAACAAAAAAACCAGTTTAGTGGCAAGACAAGCTATAATGGCATAGACAAGTTAAAAGTTTTTCGAGTACGAAAGCGGAGTTGTAACGATATTCATAATGCATACCATTCGATAAATTTATCTTATTTAAACTAATGTCTGCTTATTGAAGCAAATCACACACGGTCTTCCGGAAATAGTGAGGTTATGAAGAAAACTTTCAGGATTTGTAGCTTTTTTTACATTGTTTTACATCGTCAATTTTATTTTTTAACTAAGCAGAAAAAAAGCTTGACACATGAAACTAAGTAAGTGATAACTTTGCTAACCACTTCAAACTTCGTTGTCGTCTTATGTACCAATAAGTAATAACGATTGCCAAACTGCCCGCAAGAACGGCTATCGAACGTCGAGTTAGGAAACGTTCCATCAGCCCTTTGGGCATTCTATAAAGTGCACATTATACCAATTTCAGTTAATTTAAATACTTTTATTAATTCTCTTAAAACATGGAAGATTTTCACTAGATCGCTATTTCGAAAAAGAATTCTTGTATGAAAATTTCAAACATTTTGATACCAAACCATTCATCAAATGATATTAGAATTCACGATTTATTGAAAAATCACTCTTTTTTATATCGATATAAAAGTACCAATTATCATCTGATAAAAGTACCATAATCTGAGTCATTAAGCTTCATTTTACATTTTAATATCTTATTGCAAATAGTAATATTAGAGTGAAGAAATAAAAAGAATGTACCACAAAAAATTCTTTCCCAAAATAGTAATCAATCCACTATATTTATTGATGATTTTTCTACGTAACTATTTTTTCCTTCTCCCCAAACCTGCAGAAAGTTTCACGAATTCCTTCCTGCTATGGATTATTGAGTTTTACAATCTGAAACATGCGAAGTCTAAACGAAACATTATTTAACGAAAATACCTTTAGTGAAGTTGGATAATCATCCATTATCACTGCGCCTTATTAAATTACACCGCCAAAATGAACAACATAATGCTTTTTCATAATCAGGAAGTGAGAAAGAGAATAATATAATTGATAAGACAAAGTATAATGTATTCTGTGATTGAAATCTTGTGCTTCTCAAAAGGTTAGTTTACTCAATTAAAGATTCCGCTTGCTAAACGTTGGTAAACAAAGTAAGTATTGCAACAAGAGTATCTTATTCTAAAAGCTTTGCAAACACCAGACAAAAAGTTAGTCTTTGTTTGACTTTCCAACGACCTATGCCAATCATTCCACTTCAGTTCGTTTTAATGAAAGTATTCTTTCTTTCTCTTGTTTGATGATAAAAACAAGACCTCATTAATAACTCGAAGAAAATTTTTTGGTGAAATTAATGATTTCAAAAAAGCTCTAATCTTTGAAAAATCCCATTAAGACGAGTGATGCTGCCCTCCGCAACATCCAAATTCCCTTACACGTAAGATTGATATCCCAATTTCATCATCTAAACAAGTATTACTACATCACACCATACATTTGTGATGGCATCTCGGAGTGTGATCAAGATCAAGGATCAAAAACTCATCTACATTTATCTTACCTAAATCAAAGACTGGTAAAATAAGAATCAAAACTCAACAAAACTCTTTTCCCATACAAAAATATAAAAATAAAGAAAGATAACCATCATGAAATCAGTAAAAGAGTGGATAATCATTCTTTATAAGGAAGAATAATGCAATAATATCTCCTAGCTTGACGTCATTTACCAACTTTTTTCAAAGACCTGAGAAACGATCTTATTTGATATGAACTCATCCTAAGCCTTGCGTTAAACTTCCTGTTATTCCCATACTTGATTGTTACGATAAGCGCAAATGTCATATCAAATGACATAGCATTCTGTGTTAAAGCTTATAAAATAATACTCTGTAGGAGACTGCAAAACTGAATGAAATGGTTTTATTCATAACATGAGGAAGAAATGATATGGATGTTTTTTTAAAAAAATGAAACAACATTATTTATATCTGGAAAAAAATGTGGAAATCAATATGTACGAAATTCAGGAAATCCAGTAAGAGACAGGAGAATGAGAGAATAATTCCAAATTAGTCACATAAGTAGCAATTATGCCTCGCCAGCTAAGCCTCACCGCTTCTGTCATTCCACATCTTTTCATTAACAATTAGATATCGCCCACGATAAAATATTATTTACAACCGGCTGCCAGTAAACATTCCGAGATTGATTTTTCCTGATGCAGCGCTTTTCATTAAAAGTACTTTTTATCTACCTCACACATAGACGGTGAGGAAGTTCTACCTGATATTCGCCTCTGCTGACATTCCATTTTCAGTTCATGATGATGAAAGCATTTCTTAGAACCATTTCTATATGCCATTAAGTGATGTTGTCTGTTTATCAAAGAAGATATACGATGGTGATTCATTGCGTGGGTAATTGATCGCCGATCACTTTTCTACATTGTATATGTCTACATTTAACGGTTTTCCAGTACGGTATGTTAGCTGTGGCGTTGACTGTGGCGAATGAGTAATAAATCAGATGGAATCTAAACTTATTTATATTTTCTTTGAATAAAGAAACTGTAATCTAAAGAGAATTAGTACATATTGCTCCCATTAGGATAAATTCCATTTTAAAGCACTTAGTAGATGAAATTAGTTGCGATCATGACAGATGACAATAAAAGTTTTTTGGATAAGGACACACATCGTTCTCTTTAAAAGTAGCAGGCAATAGCTATCAATTAGATTAATCCCCCACAGATATCTGGCATATCCGTGGAGCAATGATTCCTGTCAGTTAAAAATCAAAGTTAAATAAAGAAAGAATAATGCAATCAGAACAATGCCGAAGACAAAATGACTTATTGTTCCAATGAAATTATGTCAAGACGCCTTCCCTTTAACCAGAAGTGTTGAAAATTAGCACTTTATATTTTATTTTAATCCCAGTTTAAATCACTTCATTCATGCATGAAACATAAACAATAATTTTGAATGAACAGAAGAAAAATCCTCATCAATTTGGAATATTGCTATGCTGCTAAGATCACCATGACTATGCGAGCAGAAAATAATTGAGTGCTTAAGGTTAGTGGACGAATATTCGGGTAATAAAATTTAACCGCAATAACTTGACAACTTATACCATCACTACTTCTGGAAAGAAAAAAGCATTGCACCGAAAGTTTGAAAGTTTTGATAACTGTGGTGAATTGAAAATGACTCCAAATTTACTGTGATTGAAAACTTCTGGAAATCAAAACATTGTCAAACAGAACAAAACAACCCAAACACCGAGTAATGATGCTACCTTGGAAACTTTCTTCTTTCCTTTTGGAATGGAAAAGGTTTCTCCTTTTTCTTTTCAAAATCGAGATTGATAAAACCTACATTCCACTTTCAGGAAATTCTTTGGTGGCACACCAAGCACTATTTTACCTATCCGTGGCCAGCAAAACTGGCATCAAAGCAAAATAATTATAGTACTACGGCCCGATAAATGACATTCAGTTACTAGTAGTCATTCTTTTACTATGCTGCTAAGAAATTTAAAAGTTCAAAAAACTATGGGACAAAAATACGTTGATCATATCGACAAATATTATTATAAATTGACTGCAGCTTGCCCGAATTAAGCTAATAACTTAAATAATGCGCCAGGAGTTAAAGATCCAAATTCATTGAATATTCAAAAAATTGATGTCATAACAACTTACAGAAATATAATATTCTAGATCCTAAGTAGCTCCTTGTTTTTTCTTAAAGATTCAGATCCTAGCAAACGATAAAACGAAGCAGTCCTATTAAATGCAGAGTATACAGTTTTGTGAAATGACAATTACATCCATGAAAAAGAATCATAACAACTGAAATATATAATAAAAGTTTCATATTACTGGAATGAGCAATAACAATTTTCCACAATATCAGCACGTAGATAAAATACAATAAATCTTTGAAACAAGCTTTAAAACAAAAAAATATGAAATTGAAAAATCCTTAACGGAAAGCACTTTCACTAAGGTTTATTTATGCATATCTTTATTTCTAACTTCTATCTTTATTTCCTAACTTATCATGAAAAATAAATTGGAAGAATGATGACACCAAAATGAAAAACGTAAAAAAAAACTAAAGAATCAAGGCTTTAAAGCTTACAAAATGGAGTTATATCTCAAACACTATTTTTTGTTTGCACGATTCCCCAACAAACCGGAAAGGAAATCCCACACGCGAGATCTACTAGTAGTTGGTGTTGCACATTCTTCAGTATTGGTGTTTGCAACATCTTGTTCTGATTTTTCAATATTTCTGGTGGAAAAGTTACAAGCGTGATCTGAAAAAATTTGCTTTATGTTCAACAAAGATGTTTTTAGTAAAGAGCCTTTACATCAAGTCTCATTTAAAGGAAATCATGTTCCAATTACCATTGCTTTTCTTGTTGATAAAAAGGTCGTGAAACCCTTCATTTTTGTACATAAAACAAAAACCGACAAATAAATCTATGTCCACAAACCTGTGCTTATTTCGCTTTCCGTAGAAACTTTAAATTTCCTTTGCAATGGTTCTAGAGATGAAGAGGATAAACGACGTCGGCCGAGTGGACGCCGTCCGGCAAGAATAAGATCTCGTGCAAAAGGATCATGCTCGAACAATTGATTCGTAAATCGTAGGGCCTCTAACATCAACGAAGGAGACAAGGCCGAAGCGCTACCTTTAATATAATTTTCATTTATAAAAGTCTAAAAGCAACAAAAAACTTTCATAAACTGCGCATACCATATATAAAAAAATGAAAAATATTCTAGCACTCAAGAATTACGAACTAATCTTGCATATTCCTTACATTATTATTTTAAGTAAATGTTTCGATGTTTTATCAATGAACTAAATTGTCATAAACCAATCCATATCTATTTTGAAAATTTCGAAAATTTACCACTAAAACGTTGCGAAGCATCAGACTTTTGAAAATCATGACAATGGTTGGTCGAAGAAAGCTGATTATTATTGATACAATCCCCAGCAATGTTGTTATTACCACCGATATTTGGCACACCATCTTCTTTCACAGATTTTAAATGCAATGTCTGTTTCCTTCGGCATGCTCTAAGCACAGTTCTTTGCCCTAAAAAAAGTTTTCTCATAGAGCTAGACAAATAATTAATATTTCCTCGACTGACTGTACATCGCAAAAAAAATTTAAAAACAATTTGATAAGCTAGCAGGAAATCCTGATTCATATGAGTCCTGGAAGAAAGAAATTGTAAAAGCAAAATCTTGGCAATTTGAAATTGAACTAGCAATGAATTTCAATGTGTTTTCGCTACTTTCTGTAATTTTAATCTCAAGAAATCTATTTCAAAGATTACTTATTGGTTTTGAACAAGGATTTGATGCGAGAGAAGTAAATAGAGGTTTTTTGCTTGAGAAAGACATACTGCAATGCTCCTGAAAAAATCATCGCCTTTTGTTCAAAATAATTTATAAATAATATTCAGAAATTTGAGGAGTTCATTTTATTCATTTTTATCTTTCCTGAAATCACAACATTTCATTTCCTCATTATTTATTGTACTACATGTGTGACTGAGTGAAAAATCTGTTCATAAATGAAAAATAAACCAAATCTGAATAACAATGTCCTAAAAATTACTTACCATGTTACTCGTGTTTGAGCTACAAGGACATTTTGGATCTGATGCACTCAATGCAGTGAGAACGTCATACTAAAAATATTTCTTGATATTGAGGTGACAATGAAACTTTGATATCCTCTCCTTATTTTGACATGACAAAAAATCACTGCTGTCAGCCAAAACAAATCTCTTGGAATCAGTTTTAAATCTAGCTAAGCACATATATTAAACTATAAAGACAAAGCTGAAAACTAATCTATTTCTCTCCCTCTTTAGCATACATACTTTCCTCTCTCTTGATAGGCATAACTGCATTAATTGAAGCGAAAAAAACACTACTTTCTTCATATGAATCATTTGTTTAAGTAGTGAACTTCAATCCGTTGTTTTTTCCTTATCCTCATTTAAAACATTTTAAGAAATTATTACCTTCAAATGCACCACGTTGGTACTCGTTTTCGAATTTGTTCCACAAATTCCTTCTGCTTCTACAATATCATTTCCGTTACTACAAACATTATCATTACTTGCACTGCCAACTGTCTCTTCCCGCGCTACATCTTCATCACAAGGATACAGAATACCTTCACTGCAAAGGATAAGATCTTCTAGTAAAAGTGATAATGAAGGCACTTCAGAATTTAGCTTATACATCGATCCCGTAGGATATATGTTACCATCTATGTTATTCATGAACGATGCAGCAGAAAAGCTACTGGTATATAAAATCCTACCTTCCATTTTACTATTACCATTTTTCTCTGCAGATGCGAGCTTCGTTTATGTTAGAAATTTGCTTTCACCGACAAGAGTCTAACATTTTTATCCTACTATCACCCTTAAGTTTCAGTACCATATTTTCTCTAAAACTACAAAAATTTTAATCACATTGAAGGGCATAAATTCACTTACTTTACGAGGCTCTCGTATAATTCATCCATTCCTTCCAATATTACCCCAGTAACACATCCAGTTGGTAATACTTTAATTTTATTATTAGCGCCAAATAATTCAGTTAAACGACGTATGGCTGAGACACGATCTAGTGAAGTCAGTGGCATTACTGGCATTTCTGAGAACTGCACGAGAGTAAGCGGACGTCTAATATCACGCGTATATCCAGGTCCATTGTAAGAAATTTCTAGAACAGTTTCAATCAGCCTCACATTAAAAACTTATTCATCTTCGTCTCCCACTTTCTTAAGAAATAAAATTATAGAATTTAAAATTCACAAAGTTTCCAATTCATCACCGCATAATCGTCAGAGGAAATTACCAATTTTTTCGAAAGCTGAATTTTCCACATCTTAACCCCTATTACTAATGAATTCACTCCAACAATTATTTTAATATCTTCATTATTGCGAGAAATTACACGTTGTTTTTATGGAAGTGATAGAACTGTTGCTAACCTGTAGTAAAATTGGGATCTACGATGCCTGAATAATATAAATCGACATCCAGTGTTCGCAACTGTTTACAATATTTCGGTCCTAGCACAACCGTTGAATTTCCGAAATCTGTAAGTGCTTTATCCAAACACAAATTAATATCGTCAGCTAGAACCGATGCATTGTTAACCTCCATATTCTTCTTATCAAAAAATACCTGAAAGAGTATAACAAATGTCATGGAAAAAGCTTGGCTGGCGTAAGTCAATGATAATAAATGGAAGTCTATTGAACTCAAACTGCATCCACTATTTGGACAAATTTTTTTACTACTTTGCAATTATTTCGTTTTTGGCCTACAATTATCGTTCTATTCCTTAGCAACAAATCTTAATGGCAGCCAGTTCCACACAAAATTTCTGACATGAGAATATGAACTAACTGATATAATTGATATATTATCAGCACGCGATGCGCCCCAACCTTCCAATGCATGACGCAGTATCCAACGTGAATGATTCGGCAGCCTACCGTGCTAAAATGATACAATGGAATAATGGAATAGTAGTGTAATGCATAACAATGTAATGTAGAATTTCTTAAAGATGCCCATATACGCAAAATTTTCCAAAGGAAACTGCTTTGAGATTAATGTTAGTTTCGTTTCGAGCCCCTTCCCTCTCTATAATCCAGCCCATAATTCTAGCCTTACTAGATACTACCATTGTAATTACAGCTGATGTTGAAAATTAGAAATTTACTTTATCACGTGACAATTTCTCATAATGCATCACAATATCGACAATTTGTTGCGGTTTCAAAACATTAGTTAGTCCATCTGAGCCGAGCACCAAACATAAATTATTATCATTTAGATCATATACTGTGACATCCGGTTCAGGACTCACAATAAATTGTTTCGTTTCTCGATTATATGACCATAAATCACCTATAAAATTCAAAACAACTGGAGGTTCAAAATTTCGGAATTTCATCTAAAGTTCTGAAAGATGTTATTTTTAAACTTCATAATTTAAAATAATATCCACAACTTTCTACATTTGAAATAAATGAACCCCAAAATCTAAGAAAAAATTCAACATTTTTTAATTTTCACTAACCTAAAGCACGGGCAACAGCAAGAAAAGCGATACTTTCGGTTGGTGTAGACCTGCGTACAGGCCCAACATGACCCCGAACAGGTCTTGTCCAAACAACACGTGTGACACCTGACTTCTTCATCACCATTCCACCAGCACTGTTTATCCGTTGTACTTCAAGAGAATTGTCGGGCTTATGATCAATTGTCAAACTGCTAGCCTTTATCTCACCATCTAAAGATGCCTTTTGATTCAGAAATATTTTTGAACTACTAAAGTTCAAGAAAAGAGTATTTTTGGTACACTGAATTTGAAAAACAATAGAATTTTCCAAAAGTCGTAGACAGCAATTCGTAAATAAAAAGGTCAAGAAAAAACTTTAACGAACTATTCATTTCCCCTAGAATTACAGCGGAATCGCCGACATGCCCAGTGAATATCTTTCCACGTCGAATAAAAGTACAACTAGCAGTGGTACCTGCTGTACTGGTATAACCCGAGGAAGTGAGAGGCCAATCGTCTGTAAAATACTCTTGATACCAATGAAATATTTTAAAATTTCAAGAAGTGGCAAATGCCAAATTCACAGATGTTCGGAAGATTCACATAAAAGGATGTGGAATATAGTTTCATATACCAACCGACAACTTTCCACATCGCGAGATGCGTCTCCACGAAACCTTTTTTTATGGCATCTAGCATTTGTTCATCACTACCGTCGAAGCCATACTGCGACTGAATATTCTTGAGAAGATGTTTTCGGACATAGTCACTAGCTTCTGAACCACCATGACCATCGTAAACGGCAAGGTAAAGATAATCAACAGTGCCATCTGGAAACCGAACACATTCGATGTGTACTCGATCCTCCATATATCTTCTGCCACCCTAAAAACTTTTAGCTGCAGCTGAAATTCCACAGACATACAAAGAAATAGTAATGATAATATACCATTAGAGCAATATGAACAATGGAGACATTAATAATAACGAGAGCAATCAAAAGATGAAGTAGAGGTCATAGCATCTTTTAGTTATTAGATTATAGCCTATTCTGAAGAAACGTAATGCAATAGTTGAGCAAAAAATGGGAAAGAAGGAAAAATATATAGAAGTCGATATCATATGAGTCTCTTAAAAGAAATTCAAGATCCTCACTGGCAAATTGTTTAGTTTTACTTCCTAATTTGGCTGTCGGCAACTTGAACTTAACTTTAATTGGTCAATTACTGCTAATATTTTATTAGCAATCACCTATTAAAATCACAATTAAAATCGCAATTGTATTCATTTTGGTACTTATTTCATCTCTACTCCATCATTATAATATCAAAAACAGTAATGGCAATAGAGGTAGCAGAAACCATCAAACAAACCTGGCTGGCAGCAACACTAATCCGCGCATGCTGTCCACAAAGCACCGTATTTGAGAAGGATGATGCAGTCATTGGCATCACTGTCCTTCAATTCCACTACTGAAGAAATTACTTCAATTTATACACTTCCAAAAATTATGAATTTACATTAATTAATGCTCCATGCATTTAATCGAAATCGAAATTCAGAAAATTAAATGAAAGATTAAATTATTCAATTTTACCATTCCTAAAACTCGTAATAATTAGTTTAGATTTAATAATTCTCTTAACAATTTAGTTGGAAGAAAGAGAGATAACAGAGAGATTGCCTCTCTTACTAAATTTTCAATAAATTACAACACTAACACGTTAAACTCCAAATTATCGATTCCACTCATTTCCCTTTAATAAATTGTAATGAAATAAATGGAAAGTGAACTTCATAAATCTGTACAACACATTTCCACAACAATCCATTTCCATTGAGAGAATGTAATAGTGATGAAGTTTAGACGATCAGATAGTTCACGATAATATTAACATGGCAAAAATAATTCATTAAATTTTTAAAGTTAAATTTAATTAATAAATTCTGTATACCATAATGTTGAATTAAAATAGCAATTAAGCAGGTAAATTGTTAATAATTCATTTTCATTTATTTTTGATAGAATTAAAAATTTCAATGAAACAGCATGGCAAAATACAACATTACGAAAATAGCCTGTAGCGAAGAGGAAAACGCAAAGAGGTAGAGAAAGATGGGAGTAAAGAGAATCTATCACTGAAATCTCTCTTGTTCTCTCGACAGGCATAAGCATTGTCTTGCTACTCTGCCACTCTAACTCCGAGAATATTAAAAAAAATGTGAATTCTCTACCGTTTTGCTCTCTCTTCTTTTCTCTCTTTATCTTTCTCTACACAAATTTATTATCTCTATGTTTACTTCTCCTAGAACAAGTGTTTTATGCTCACCGGGTTGTTATTGAGGTCTCCCAGTGGATATTTGGAGAACTGAAAAAAAGAAAGTTTTATTTCTATCTCCTTCCTTTTTACAGAAAATGACAAATCGTGAAGCTGGAATTTCTCAATATTTCAATTCTTCAGTAATCATGAATCTTCTGTATTTCTTTCCCATATTTCTTTCCGTCAATTCTTCAGTATTTCTTTCGTGAATATTTTAGATTTCTTTTATTTTACAACTGTTGGTAACTGCTACTATAAAATAAATCAATTAACATTTCCTGTAAAAGGAAGAGAGGTAGAAACAAAATTGAAAAGCAATGAATTAATCTCATTCATAGTGTTCGATGTTTGTTTCCTTTCTGGAATGATTTGCAGTGCGCTTGTGCTTCCAAAGGTCGCGTATACTTCATGTACCTTTTGTAGGGCATATATGACTGACGCAAGAGCGTGGGATTCTTGTACGAAGGGGCAACCAAACGCCTGAGGTTTTTTTAAATCATATATACTAAGAATAAACATTTGGATACACATACAGGTGCAATCACTATGCAGTGCAATTAGAGTTAATACATATGGATCGTGCATATATCTTTTAAATTGTTTATATTTTAATCTTTGGAATACCTTAGATTTGTAATTTGGATGCAATTATGGATATCGACGAGTTGCCGGATCTCGTTTTGGAGATAGTCTTCTCATATTTAAATCAATATGGCGATTTGGAAAATGTCCGATTGGTTAGTCGTCGATGGCATCGCGTTGCATATACTATCATTAATATTTTAAAGAAATCTTTTCTCAGATGCAATCAGCTGATTTGGTTAGTTGAAATTTAAATTAAGTATTTTTTGTGTGGATTATTATGGTTCAAAAATAAGAACGTTCAAGCCTTCCAGAAGGCTTCATTTCTTGAACGTTTTTACTTTTGAACATGCTCTTCTTTTTCACAATCCAATAATTTCTGCATCCGGCAAGCGCTTTATAATCATGGTGTTTAGAAGAAATCTCCTAGATGTTGAAATTTATTTGAAAAAATATTCGAAATAGTGTCTTATTTCCAGGGAGCTGCATGCACTAGAAAAGGAAGAGGATGGTGCAATCGCAAAGCGTTGTTCACATTCAGGTTGTTATCATGATGGCACCAAAAAAGTATATATATTTGGTGGATGCACCGATAATTATACTGCCTTCAACGATCTTTGGAGTTTTGATCTGGTATATTTCTACTATCTTCATGAATTTGCTTGTTGAATTTTCAGGGAAAGTTATGTGTAGCTTTATTTACTTTATTAATTTAAGGTCGATGCACTTCCATGGAAATTAGATGAATGGTCTTATATTTTCTAGAAAATTAAGATTTGTAATTTCAGAGGTCCCGCAGTTGGTGCCGAGAATTTATTAAGTGTTCTCCATTCCCTCGACCGAAGGCAATGTCCATTTTTGTGCCTTACAAGGAGTATTTGATCCTTCATGGTGGATTCGCAAAGTCCTCCCCTAACCCAATCCATCAAGCAGCAAATTTTTTTAGTGAGATGCATTTGTACGATACTACAACGAATGAGTGGATTGAGGTAATCTGAGCCTATTCATGTAGCAGATATTCTTTTGTAAAGTGCTGTTTTCATTGTGTTACATTCATCAGTTTATAGCTTAAGATTTTAATTTCTGCTTCATATTCCATTAAGCTATATCACATCTTCTTTGATACTAAAAGATTTGCTTTAACACGCGGGTAAGATATTTAGCAGAAAATGAACCTTAAAAAATAGAGTAGTCAAGAAAAATTTTTAGCAAGATTACCTCCGTTGTTTCTAACTAGACATCTCAAGCAATTTCTATTTGCATGACGATTAAGGAACAACATTTGAGCATTTAAGATTTTTTTAATTTTTCTCATACGCATTATTTTTGATATTTCCCTAATATTTTATTCCAGGTCGAGACGGAACCTCCACCACCTGTGATTGCAAGTCACTGTGCATGTGTGGTAGATGATTCACTGATCATTTTTGGTGGTTCTCAGAATAGCCGTACTACAAATGCTGTCTATGTTTTGGATATTACCAGTAAAATTTGGCACGTACCATCATTTGTTGAGTAAGTTTGCTATGTATCGATTTTCTATTTGCTGGCGATTAAAAGCTGCTCGAATACCAGATTCTTGTTTATTTACTATCACATTTTAAAGGCTTTAGTAAGCTCATTTTTGTAGCATATTTCATTGCTTTGTTTTTAGTTAGTCTGGTTAAAAATTTAATATATCATACATCATTTTTGACAGGAATCACAAAGACCGAAGTTATGGAAAATTAGACGCGTTGTCAAGTGAACCATTCTTGTTGAAAAGTCCACGGCCGAACCCCCGTTATGGTAGCTCATGTGTGGTAATTGACAAATCGCACCTGCTGGTGGTAGGTGGTTGTGGTGGTCCAAATTGTATTTATAATGATGCTTGGCTCCTTACGTTCGACTTGACGCTGCAAAA